ACACCCTCCTCACACACACACACACACACATACACCCACACACACTGCCGGCTCGTTAGAGTGGCAAATCAAACAGTCCCCCACATCACCCGATGAATATGTTTATGCCAGTTGGCATTGCAATAACTTCATAAATATGCAGTGCAGTCGGCAGTCGGCAGTCTGCAGACTGCAGCAGAAATAGCTGTTGAATTTAAATTCGAAAGTTGGATTTAATGCCGGCCAAGGCAGAACAATGCAATTATGATTCGGCTGTCAATTAAATGGCAAGTTTACAGCACTTCAAGTGCAGCAGTGGCAGCAGCACGAGCACCACAATTTGAATCGAAATGCGGGGCAGAGTGCTCCGATATCCGAATGGAATGAGCATAAAATAAAATCATATAAAATATCAATAAAGCACACAAATTTATTGCAGAAACATACTCGGGATAACGGAGGAGTTGAGCATCCTGCAGGAGCCTTCGGATGTGAAATCTCCTTTTCCACTTCCCGTTTGTTTATACCCTTCCAGGAATCGTCCTCACATCAATGATGATTTCAGTATGGTTAAACATAAGATTTTGATTTAATTTATTTTTGAACATATAAAAATAATACCCTCTGCAAGGGTTTTAGTAAGTGAAACCAACATCTATATTTCTGTTTCTTTAAAAAATTACTAATATAATATAAATAGTAATATGCGTTGAAGTACTTAAAGTTAACTTGAAGGGCATAATCAAATATGCTCCCAAATTTGAGTTCCTTTTTATTTGCGCTGGAGCGTGTGAGTGTTGGAAAATACTCGTAAATAAAATGCTCTTCTTGTCTCCACCCCGATTTTGGCTTTTCTTTCCGTACTTTCCCGCCGCCTCCGATTTTCCTTCGGTTGGCCCAGCGGCAAAACGATGACGAGCTGACGATGTCGTTGTAAATACCATAAAGAAAATCGTTGCCGACGTGCGGTGTCCGTGTCCGTGTGTCCTGCGAGTCCTTCGACTCTGCATGTGTTTGTGTATTGCCGTCTGGAAGGAGTTGGCCAAAAAAAGGCGCAACAGCAACTAGCAACCAGCAGCCAGCAGCCAGCAAGCAGGAAGCCCTCCAAAATGTTATTTATTGGAATTGTGTAATAAATGTGACCGAAAGTGCACTCGACGTAAACAAAATGTTGCATGCCACATCTACTCGGTGCGTCCATCTGCCTTTTCCTGAAAGTCCTTCCATTGTGGGGCTTCCAGGACTGTCCGTTGCATTAGGAGCCACCAAATGATGCAAATGAAGGTGGACCAGCAGCCCGAACTTATGACCATTATCCATTATGCTTTTGCACGTGCATGTGGGCTTTTAGCGCTATAAGCCTGAGGTGTTGTCTGTCAGGATATCTTCTCTGGCCAGAGATCTTCATTATCCTCCGACCTGTACTACTTTTTGGCCAAGACTTTAAAGGTAGCTCAAAAAAAAAAAAACCAAATAAATTTTAAATTCATCAGAAGAGGAGGTTATTTTATTTATTATATGTTTATTATAGTATTTGTTTAGTGAATGGCTTTGTATATGCTTTAAGATTGTTCTGTTTATAAACAATCTTGTGGAAGTCAGGGAGCCAATAATTACTCCAATTTGAGCACGTTGCAAAGTGCAACTATTAGAAATACGTTTTCTTCACGGACACTGAGGCGTATGAGTAATTTTTCAAAGCCGATAACTCATACACAGTGTTGACCCTAAAGTAGTTCAAATTAATTTTAGAGTAAAAAATATACAAAAGGATTATAAAATATTTCAAAATGTATAGTGGGCCGACTTAACGTACACTGTGGCGTATGCGTTATTTTAATAAGCGGATAACTCATACGCAGTGTTGACCCACAAATAAAGTATTTGCTTGAAGAATCGATAGTTTATTTTTAAGGGATTTCGCCTTCTTCAAAGGCTTTAAGAAATAACGCTAAGCTTCAGGGCTTCCTCGAGCTTAATCGGTGAAAATAAAATACTACCCCATCCATCAATCAATCAATACGTGCTGATGTAAGCAAATAATCCAGTACAAAATTGAGACGTCACGCGTGATTACCGAACGTAGTCGCAGGACATTTCGAGGACCTGCCAAAAGCACTGTGTGCTACCATTTCGTATGATCGACCCGACAGATTGGGAGTTATGCATGCTTCTGGCTACGTGATCGCCCAGTTAGAAGGGTAAATATAAAAGACGACTCGACGCGACTCCTCGCAATTTGTGTCGGGACATTTGCATCTGTATATATATCCGCATCCAGGAGTGTGGCCGCCACGACCCAAAAACACTCGGAAATACCACCCACAGTCGCAGTTGGCCACTTGGCTAGGAATTAGTTAAAAATGGCTACTTTAAGAGCAGGTTCTTTCGTTTTTTGGTGACACTAAAAAATGCTGCATACCAGGTTATAATTTTTTTAATGACTGTTTTTAGCAATAAGATGACCATAAAGCAGTCGAAAATCCTTTTATTTTGCCAGGTTTTTCTTTCGTTATTTGACACTTTGCATACCAGGTTTAAAAATTTTTTCCGAATTATTTTTGAAAATTTGTTTTGGATTTTTGCAATAAAATTTGGAAACCATTTTTTGTTTGACGAGATATTAGATTTTTTCTAGATTAAGAACGGTTTGCCAATGTACTCTTCCCAATTTAAAGTTGGCAGCACTGGGAATTGCTGTTGCCACCCACTCGTCCAGCTGCATTGGCAAATCTAAAGGGGTCCTTTACTGCCCCTTTAACTCGCCCCTGTCTCCTGCCCCCGCTTGTGGCACTCACACATGGCACCTTTGCTTTGTCCCGAAAATTTCCATCGATTTGATTTATATGCAAAATATTTAAATTTTATTGCCAGTTTGCATATGGGCCAGACAGTCGGACAGACGGAGAGTCAGGACCCAGGAGGCTTAAGTGAGATCGATAGTTATAGTTGGGCACACAGACACACGGGGCCACATGCGGAAAAAGTCGGAAAAACAGCTGAGGTTGTGTAGATAATTTATACAGCTTTCGGTAATATTGAAAACGAAATTTAAATGCAAACAAGGGAAAGTGTTGGGAAAGTCAGCTTTTCTTACCCCGCTTTCTGACGCAGGTGAGTTTTCTCAAAACGTTTGTGTATGAATTTAGTTATGGGAAATCTATAATAGGAAAATAGCTAGTGATTAAAGGCCATGATTTATCAGAGATTGCTTTTCAAATGCACATAACAAGGGTCCACCATCCGCTTTTCGTGTCGACAACTTGGAACTTTCCACATTTTTCATTATGTCGCAGACAAGGCGCAAATGAAAAGGAGCTGGAAAATGGAAAAACCCGAGTGGCCGGAGGGGCGTGGGAGGCGTGTCAGAAATTATGTTGATTGTTTGCTCTAGCCAAGGAAATAATTAAGCAAGACATGGCAGCAACGGAGACACGGGCAAGAAACTCGAGCATATTTCGTTGGCGCCAAGTCAAAAATTTCAAGCACAGCAAAAAATAATTTTACGCTTATTAAATGGTAGCAACATGTAAAAAAATGTATGTTATAAATATAATAAAATGGAATTCATGATTGTAAAAAGTGTTTTAAAGCATTTAAAGGCCAGTTAAAGTTTAATGCCTTTTCGTTTAATTTTTTTTAGTGTGCGTATCTCCCCATCAGGCTGCAAAAACAATCCTGAAATTGTCAACAGCTTTTTGTGACTCACTGTGTGTGCGTCGGTTTTTTGCTGCTGTTCCAAGTTAATCTAATTAGTGAGCCACTTGGAGCTGCAGTTTTGATTTACATTTCGAACTGCCACTGGGAATTAGCCAGGGAAATGCAACCATCGCCTTTTCCCTCCCCTGAATTTTGTGGGACCCCAAAGTTTTACTAATTTCCGCACAATTCGCTCAAAATGTTAAAAACAGGATCGGTGGTCGCCGCCTCTTTTGCCTTTGAAATGGGTGCATTATTTCGATTCGAATTCGGTTCATTTTATCGCATTTCATTAGCGGCAACAGCGATTCCAATTTCCAATTTCCCGTTTCCATTTAGTTTTTCGCTGGCATTTACAATTTCGCACTGCCACCCTTCGAATTTCTCCTCCCCCTTCTAATCCAGCTTCCATTTGGAATTTATTTCTAACGTAATAAACGGTGTTTGTGATACAGATCGTCACACTTCGCTTGCTGAAAGTGTTTTTCTTTTCATATGCACATAAAGCGCTGCTGCGTAGTCACCTTCTTTGAATTTCTATTTGCCTGGTTTAAAACAGCCTGTTTTGCTTTCCAAATCGATTTTATGCACCAGGCAAACATAACTCATAGCTGGTTGCAGCTGGTAAATCTGAATTTACTCAAATAACTGTACTTTTTTTAAGATGCTGCCCTGGGCACGCTTTTGACCAATAAGAAAGCCATCTCGCTGGAAGGTTCCGTTATTTTAAAGTACGTATCAGACCAGAGATGCGAAACCACGCTGATTCTTTGTGCGTGTCACGAAAGTGGCACGCCGGGCACGAGTAATTAATAAATTTCCTTGTGGTTGTTGTTGGCCTTACAAGAATAACTTGTCACGCGTTCATCACTGAACAAGCCAAGTTTAAGCTGATCAGCTGATCGATTTTTACCTACTAAGCGGTTCTGTTTGCCTAGTGTTGTAGTTCAAAAATTTTACATTTTACCTGCCAAAAGTACTGGCGTTTGACGAAATTTGGTTTTAGGCGTGAATTCCCTTTGTTTGTCTAACTGGGCAAATATTTGCCAGTGAAAAGCGGGAGCACGGCTCCCTTGATAAGCGATAAGCCTCGTCTCGCCAGGGCCATGAATAAATTAGTTGGCCAGCCCCAAATCAGCCAGCAGCTTGTCAAGAAAACATCATTTTCTGTGGGCCATAATCGGAAGAACTCAAAGGAAAGTTTTATCAAAATCCAATCACAAGAAAGATTTAAGTCATCAAGAATGCCTCTAGTTATACTTCACTCATAAATCCAGTACTGCTCAGTTTAAACTCGCTATTCCATTCAGTTGTAACTAAAACTCCGTCGGCTCAACAACGAAAACGAAATTTACTCATATTTTAGTTTTGTGCCTAAGAATTTCAACAGTGTGTGATAAATTAAGCCAAAAAAAACAGTAGTGTTAAAAAAATTTGTTATGGAAGACATAGAGAACAAACCGACAAATAGTCCACCAATATACACAGTGGGCGAGATATATCGGGCTTTAACGGGAATACCTATACCAAGATTCGTGCTCCAGATGTTCCTGAGCCGCGAGCCAGCGCTCTGCGTCATCTGGCTGATCCTGGGTCTGGGTCTGTGCCTCTTCGACATCCTGGCCACCTATGCCCTCCTCAATCTGGTGCTGATGGCCGGCCTGATGATCCTTTTCCACGGACTGTTTTACACCGTCATCATCCGCCCGTTTGTGCTGGTCGAGCCCTACGAGAACCTGATGGACTGCAGCTTCAATGTGACCTTGTCGACCCAAGGTGTCGTCGGGGTGTGCCACCGCCTGACGAATTGCATCAATCGATGCGTGGCCACTGCCCAGTTCGTCCTCTTTGGGCCGCACTTGCTGACCAGCTTGCTGGTGGTCATCGCACTCATGGAGATCCGCTGCTCGCTCTCCTGGGCGGGATTTTCCGCTTTCGTGAAGTTCGGTCAGTGTGATTCCGCTATCAAATTTTAGTTAGCTAAATTATTGTTTTCCCTTTTTTTTTCACAGCCTACTGCCTGGGATTCGTTTTGCCAAAAGCGTGGCAGGCCTTCCTATTTTGGCTGGACGCTCAGCCGCGGATCTGCCGCGCACACGTGCTATTCGCCGCAGGGATCATGCTAAAGGATGACTTCTTCAGGTTGCTCGAGGAAGTGCAATCGGAGCATTCCAGGCAGGTGTCGGAAGAAGCCCTGGAGGAAATGGTGGACAGCTTGGTACTGCTAAATGACAGGTTTCGCCATGTGGAATTAGATGTCGACCGAAAATCGTTCTCGCCTAAACATTCGTTGTCTGAATCGTCAGACGAAGAATGCTGTTGCTTTAAAAAAACGGACAACAGGAAGGAAATAATGGAAACAATCTGGATCATCAAATCTTCCCTATACCATTTTATTTACATTTGATTACGTTTAGTTTTGGTTTTAGTTAAAACTTCGATTTTAACAACATGCTACACAACAAATACAAATAGTGAGAATGTCCTAATGCACATTGAACAAAGTTACTCTAAACACTTCACAAAACACAATAAACACTGTGTGATAAACTGAAGCCTTAAGTTTAATTTTGTTTACCGATGGCCGAATAGAACCTCAAGTTCCTTTTTTTATATATTGGATATAGTTCTATGATGCTAAAACGTAGTCCAATAACATGTTGGTGTGATCAAAACTGTTTCTTATTTTCGGTGTGTAAATTAATTAAAGCCTCCTGTTTTCCTGCTAAACTTTGCGGGCGATAAAAATCGCAGGCAAAACGTGACAAACGACGATGAAGTTAAAGGCGCCGTAAGCAAACAAGCCATGTGTACAAGCCACCGATGATGTGGGTGTTATGAAGAGTGGGCGGTGGTGCTATGTGTGTGTGTGTGTGGGGCTTAGTGGGTGGTGGGTGGTGGTTGGTGGGTGCAACGGAGCCTTGCCAGTGGTTAATCATTAAAGCCGCCCCCTCAGGCGGTGGCTCAAGATGGTCAGATTTATTCATTAGCCCGGCGTTTTGGGGCTGCCGAATCACTGGGGGCTAAAGGTGAGGGGCTGAAAGGGGGTGGTGGCGAAAAGGGGGAGAAGAAAAGGGGAGGGGGCATTAAAAATTTAGTGAGCTCTCGGCAGGAAGTACACGAAAATCGGAGTAGAAGGCGGCGCGGGGAAAGGGGAGAGAAGGGGAAACGGCGACAGGAAGTGGGTGAAAATTGGGCAGAGAATGCAGTGGAGCAAACGGGAGGGGGAGGGGGAAGGGAGGTGGACAGAAAGAGAAGAGAGAAGTGGGAAAGGAGAAAGCCTTTTCTTCTTGCAATTTGCACTCAATTGCAATTTCCGTTCGCCGCTGCCATTTGCTACGTGGCTGCCACGTGAAAAGCCATCGTGCCCGACCGCCCTTTCAGCCCCCCTCCTGCCATGCCTCTGGCACCCCCTATCCGCTCCCTTTGCCACCCCCTCTGCCATCCCCTCTGCCATCCCCTCTGCCATCCCCTCTGCCACGCCTCTGCCTACGTGCTGAGCGGCGCAAAACGCGCAGAAATTTGTTTTGCCATTTTGTTTAGTTGTTAGTTGTTGCTGTGGCGGTCCGCCCTTTCCGCCGCCCCCTTTCCCTCCCTTTGCCCCACCACTCCCGTCTTGTTTTTTTAAATATCAATATAAAACGTGACAGAATGGACTTTTGCCTCGACAAAGCTCAGAAAGCACCGCGGCTGGGCGGCAGGATCGTACACTGGCCAAAAGGATACTCTTTTTGTTTTGTGTTAAGTGCATTTTTAATTAAATTTTAGCTTAAAAAAATATTTAAAAATAAAAGCCCAAGAACTTGTAAAACATTTAAAAGTTTACAAAAAAAAAGAAATATTTGTGATGCAAAGATGTTTTCAATTCCAAAAATAAATTATTTAGTTATTTTTTTGAGTGCACCGTTTAAAGTAAATCTGGGGTTCAGGGAGCAGAATTTCCGTAAGCGGTTTAACTGCTCGGCAATGGGTAGGCATAAGTAGGCGTCGGTCGGTCGGTTGGAAAGTGGGCGGGGCTCACGCATTATAATCCGTTTATGGACGTCTCCCCCATCCGAAATCCCCGTTGAAATCCAAGGAAACGAGACCCGTTCCGAAAGAGAACCCGACTTAGCCGTCCCTCAGAATTCTGGAATTAGTCTAGAGTGTCCGATAGCCAGGAAATGGAGATCCAGGTGCCCCAGAAAGCGAGCTTTAAGGGTCTTTGACTCACGATTCTTTTATCTTTGTGAATATCCGAACATACATAGAAGTATTTGCGAGAAGTGTCCTTTGAAGCCCTTTTCTTTTAATGTTAACAACAGCTGATTGATATTTAGTATTTCAAAGTATTTATTAATTGTTTTGAAATGTTTTTAAAGGATTTAATAAATGTACTTACATCATTAATAACTTGTTGTTTATTATATAAGTGTATGTCATGTACTGAGGTCAAAACTAAATTTCGCTTGCCACAACTCCATCAAGTCTTCCCGGACAGGATGCAGTTGTTCCACTGAAGTTAAAGCCATCATTCGGTGGAGCATTGGAAAGATGCTTCGGGCCAGGAAGACGATTATGATGATGGCGATGGCGATGATGATGATGGCTGCAAAGGCACATGCGGTTTGGTTTGCACACCATCGGGGGGTCGCTTCTTCGTCAGTTCGGCCAAATGGACTCACGGTCGATGACGCTGCCTTTGAAAAGGACTCCGCACTATTCTATACTACGTATGAATGGCTGGAAATCAGACAGAGGCTTCCCCTCGTTGCCATGGCACAATGCACACAAATGTGAGGTTAGGGAGGTATCACTGTATATGCTGGTGAAAATTGCATTCAGTGAGTGTTTTATGGCCATGTTCGGCACTCCGAGTGCGACTGCTTTATGAATGCATAATTTTATTATGCACAAATTCTATTTACAACGCGACACGTTGCGTGAACGGTTCATGAGGCGCAAAATGCGAGGGTCGCCTCACAAGTTTCTCCATCGAAAAACCTTTGACAAACACTAACCGTTCGATTGCACCTGGCTCTGCCCATTTGATTGTAATTAATATTTGCATTTCAATTGCATTTGCGCTGGCCGGCAGTAAAACCGGTTTTTGTGGCCAGCGGGCAAATAGTGCCACCGCCCTCTGCCACGCCCCAATTATCACATATGGCGGGACATTGATTAAACATTTAGCTGTCCGTAAGTATTTTAATAACTATTTCGGCACCCCGAAAAACAATTTCCCAGCGGCTAATTGTAGGAGTTTAGTTGGCCGTTCTCAAACCAACCGAAAACCAGCCAAACGGAAACATAGAGCCGGCTTGGATTGGGTTTAGATTTACAGAGAGAGAAAAATTGCATTTATATACAATATTAAGAAGGCTTAAATACATATAAGTTGTTGATTAACTTATTCCATAACTTGCAGTTTACTAAAACAGTCAAGGAATACCTTCAGTCTTCCAGGACCTTCGTGTTTCTTGTAAGAAATCAGCCGCGTATTTCTGCCAGTGTAGTGACTCCATGGGCATCTGGTTATGGCACCCGGCGATGATTGCTTCCCTCAGGGCGCTCGGCATCGACATTGACATGGTCCAGTGCGTATAAATCAACAGCTGCAGCAGGTTTTCCGGCCCACAAAAAGGACGAGGCAGAGGAGTTGGCAACTAGGGGGTTAAAACGGGGACAGCGGCTGGCAGCGGGTTAAAAATCTTTTCAAGTGGTCAACGGACGCAAATCCCTGTCCCAACATCCCGGCATCCCAACATCCCGCATCCTTGTGCCTTTGCGGTTGAATTAAGACAAACAAAAGGCACTGGCAGAAAATGGGGACTGAGAACTGCGAACTGGGAACTGGGAACTGGAAGTTGGGGAACTGGAGAACTCTGCTTAGATTACGCATACGCCGTGTTGAGCAGAGGGTCCTTGGGGGGTACGGGAAAATGGGGTCGAGAAAAGAAAGTGCAACACACATGCACGGCAACAGAAGCAGCAACATAATGGGGAACGGCAGAAGGAGTTGGAGCTTCAGTTGGAAGTGGAGGTGGAAGTGGAAAGGCAGGACAAAAACGGAAAAGGGCAAACGCAAAATGTAAATGGGCTTTTCACAAAATGAATATTAAATTGCAAGTGGGGTAAAGGAAAAGGCAACAGGCGTGGTGGCGAAACAAGGGAGGGGGAAGGGTAAGGGGAAGGGTAAGGGGAAGGGGGGAGGGGGAACCGGCTTAGCCAAAGAGTGTTAGACATGTCTGAGCCGACATTAACATGGCCCAAACCGAAACCGAAGTCGAACCCTCCAACGGCTTGGCTTAGAAACTCTTTGCGGGCTTTGATTCTCACTCGGCCTTCTCGCATATTCATTTTCAGCCCATTTCTTTTGTGGACAATGTGAATATGATTATAGCCGTGATTGCCAAACTGGGAAATCTGACAGCACAAAAGGGTGTTGGTTTTGCCAACTTCTTTGGGCTTATTTATTGGAAGTTAGGCGTATGATAAAATGAAAGCACTAGTTTAAAGATCTCTCTTCATGTTAATATGTTAACTATTGTAAATATATATATTTTATATATAACTATATAATATAGGTTTGATTATTTTTTAAAGAAAGCTTTCAAAGTTTGCAATTGAAGAAGTCAGCCCAATTGGAACCCGAAATAACTTAATATAAAACCCACTGTCATAACCATTAGCAAGACTGAATAATTGTTTTCTTCTTTTGGTTGGCCTAATGAGATTATGGCAAGGAGCATTTCTCGCGATTACCTGAAAGTTGCTCCTTCGGCAAGTCCTAATCCCAATTAGAAACCGCAGCCCGACTAATTAGCATTGGGGGAATCTCGGATATCCGACTTGTTTTGCGGCTCGCTCCCAGATAGATGAGCATTTTGTGCACTTTCCTGGAAACGCCCAGGAAAACTCTCCGTCATTTTCCGACCCTCCACTCCCCTTTTCCTCCCGTTTTCCCCCCACTTATATGACATGGCATATGCATTGTTTTCAAAATGATTTGCGGTTCTAATTTTTCGCACAGAGGCGGCTGGAAAAGGGGGCTGAAAGGGGGCTGAAAGGAGGAAGAAGAGGCCATACTCTGTCGTCGTTTCTTATTTTTGTGGCTTTCGCTGCACAACTTGAACAGAGGCCCAGTTCCCAAGCTCTCCGTGCTACGCCCCCGTATTCCTATTACCACTTTATTGCAGCAGGCAAGATGCCACCGCAAGCCGCATGCAGCTCCAGTCGTTCCCAACTATTGCATCTTCCTCAGATGCGAGTGCACTTGAAAAAAAACTCGGAAATTTGTGCCCTGAATACAAATCAAAATAATTGATGGACACAGGTCTTGATTTCCAGCAACATTTTATTACCTAAATTACATTTGTATTGTTCTAGTTTTCTCAATTATGTTTCTCTTCTGTAAATCTGAATTTAGCTTGTGTTTTTAATTGGCTTTTGGTTCTGTAAGAGATCCCTTTCTTTTCTGTGCAGCCTTGTCCCCTGCTCATTTTGCGTGTTTCTTGAGCTGAGGCGCCAAAACAAAGCAGAAACTTCGCTTGGTTCAACATTTCAACTGCTTGGA